TACTATTATCAAAATTTTTGTAAAATCTAATTTTTTCATAAAATTTTAAATTTGTTTACTTTTAACAAAAAACCGAAATTTTACAAATCATATTCAACATTAAAGCAAATTCTTGTGCATTTTTTATAGACACCTCACTTAGTATGTATTTTTGAGTAGAAAGTAAAAAAATGAACGCAAAAAAATAGAATTAATATTTTGCTGATATTTCTTGAGCAGTCATTTTTACACTTTGTTATTGAAGCATTCAAAAATATTCCGAATTATACTCGTATTAATCCAAAACATCCTGAAAAAATCCGAAAAGTCTCGAAAGGTACCGGAAAAGTTTTGAAGACTACGGAAAATTCACAAATAAAAAGGTCACTAGAAATCTCTTAAAGTCATGTCGAAAAGTCTGAAATTCTAAAATCCCAAAATTACCGGGATCGCCGAAAATTTGCAAAAAAAAGGATATCTGAATAGACTTAAAAAAAATTCGGGAAACTCACAAAAAAATTTCGAAACATCCAAAAAAAAAATTCCGAAAAACTTCGAAAGTAATAGATTAAATTACCAAACGATCACAATAAAATCTGATCAAGTCCCGAAAACAATACTGAAAAGTTCTGAAGTAACGAAAATAATCTTGAAAAAACTCCGAAACGACCAACTTCCTAAAAAGGCTTGAAAAACTTTAAAATTGTTCAGAAAATTTTCAGAAGAATACTGAAAACGCCCGCAAAGAATCGAGAAAATCCTGGAAGAACTTTAAAAAACATTGAAATCCGAAAAAAAAATTAGAAATTTTCCAAAAATTCCGAAACAAATCCAAAACCTCTAAATTCCAATAAATTTCGACAAATTTTAAAGAACTCCGAAACTGTTCTGAGTAAATATCGATGGATAACAAAAATCCCCGCTAAGATGAAAAACAATTTTGAAAAGTCCTTAAAAGACCTCGAAAAGTCACGAAAACAATTTTTAAAAATTCTGAAATGACCGTAAATTTCTAAAGAGTTCGAGATTGCTTTGAAAAAATACGAAAAAATCACAAAAACCCCCATAAAGTATAGAAAAAATCCTTAAAGAAACTTAAAAAATTACGAAGTTCTCGAAAAAATTCAGAAAAGTCTCGAAAGGTACCGGAAAAATTTTGAGGGATCCGGAAAAATTCACAAATAAAAAGGTCACTAGAAATCTCTTAAAGTCATGTTGAAAAGTCTGAAATTCTAAAATTCCGAAAATACCGGGATCGCCGAAAATTTGCAAAATAAAGGATAACTGAATAGACTTAAAAAAATTTCCGGAAACTCAAAAAAAAATTTCGAAACATCAAAAGAAAAAAAATCCCGAAAAACTTCGAAAGTAATAGAGAAAATTAACAAACGATCACAATAAAATCCGATCAAGTCCCGAAAACAATACTAAAAAGTCCTGAAGTCACGAAAATAATCTCGAAAAAACTCCTAAACGTCCAACTTCCTAAAAAGGCCTGAAAAACTTTAAAATTGTTCAGAAAAATTTCGCAAAGAATTGAGAAAATCCTGGAAGAACTTTAAGAACCATTGAAGGTCTCGACAAAATCCTAAAAAATTCGAAATTCTCCAAAAATTCTGACAAACTCCAAAACCTCTAAAATCCAATAAATTCCGACAAATTTCAAAGAACTCCGAAACTGTTCTGAGTAAATATCGATGGATCACAAAAGTCCCCGCTAAGATGAAAAACAATTTTGAAAAGTCCTTAAAAGACCTCGAAAAGTCACGAAAACAATTTTGAAAAATTCTGAAATGACCGAAAATTCCTAATGACTTCGAGACTGCTTTAAAAAAATCACAAAAACCCCCATAAAGTATCGAAAAAATCCTTAAAAATACTTAAAAAATTACTAAGAAAAAAATTACGAGAAGTCCGAAAACAATTTTGAAAAAATTCCAAAGTTAGCAAAAACCTCTCGAAATCCGATAAATTAAAAACGATTTCACGTAATATCAAAATAAAATTTATCACTTTTCTGCTCGGGAAAATATCAAATTAGGTTCGGTTAGCTTGGCTTAATCTTAGTCATAATGTGATAGTTCAAATATTGCGGAAGGTGGAAAAAATATTAAATCTTGTTTGATACAAACTTTTTTCCGCGACCCAATGTAATGTACATACTTACATACATACATGTAAAGTGTATTAACAATTCTAACCATTTTAGTGTAGTTGCCATATGCTTATGCAGACAATGTTTTTATAAATATGTGGTACTTCAAGAGTTTGGAATTTCATTTGTAACCAAATACCAATAGTATTATTACACCTATACAATGCTTGTAGGTATTTTCATGTGTTTACGAAAAGTATTTGTTAGTTTTGCATTCAGAAAGTTTTATACAGATTTTATTGCACAAACACATTATGTTTTTTTTTTTTGTACTTTTTTGGTATTGCCTGCAATTTGAATATTAATTTTATGTCTTTTTTCCATACTTGCAGTCGTTCTTTATTATTTCGATTTTACGATGCTGTCGCTCATTTAGCATGCCGTGAGTTACATGTGTAGATGCAAAAAAATAAAATAAACACAAAATGCATATTTAAAATTAGAATGTAGCTACATATTAAAAAATCTAAATATGTATTGTGTAGGCGAGCAGCAAATGTCATCAAAATTGTAGCCATTGTCGGCTGTCATTGTGCGCCCATTATCAACACTCCATGTTAGTACGTTAGTGTGTTTGTAAATGGGAGTTTCGTCCTTTTTCACAAATTTTAATATTAAGTATGATTTTTTTCTTCATTTTTGCAATTTTTATTTACCGCGACCCTTTTTAATTTGTTTCGAAATTCTATTTGTATTATTTTGCGCGACTGTGTGTCGCCTTAAGACCACATTTAAAAAAAGGTATATTGCACAATAGAATGAGGTAATCGCATACCGAAACGAGCAGCGACCTTTGCTACCACCCACGGACATTGTCCTCACCGTCGCCATTTATCGCACACCAGCGTGCTTATAGGCCCTCAGGCATTAATATACATAGTATTGTGTGTGCTCTTTAATTGCGCGCTTCCACATCCGGCTAGCTATTCTGTTCTGTGACAGCAAGAAAAAAGTAATCACTTCCTTGACTTTATACATAGGATAAGCGTAAACGGAAATCAATCATAATAGACGTGCTGTTTCTTAATTCACACCACGCAGATTAGGTAAATGTTAAGTCATCTAAAATAAATTGAAACTAACACAGTTTAGGTTTGCCCTCATGGAAAATATTTATCCAAAATCCCTAATAGCATTGACGCGCAAACACATTCTGTGAAATAAGTTCCGCATCTGAATATCTGAAGTTTCAATTTCAATTCAAGCATACAAATGGGAATACGAAAACGGATAAGAAATCGTACGATTGCTTATAGGAATGCAAATCCAAATATGAATAAAAATTTGAATATATGTAAATATGAAATATAAATCCGCATACAAGTACCATTACGATACCTATCATTAAAGCAAATCGATAAGAAAAGGTATATAAAATCAGCATTAAAACTCAATCCCGTGTGGAAAAGTTTTTCATATAAAAACTGCCTAGAGCAGCGGTACTCGCCGACGCCAATGCGTAAAGGTCCGTAAATCCTCCCCGAAAAATCTTTCTGTCGAATACTCCAAGAGCCGCCTGATCGGATGTTGTCATTGTCCATGCTTTTGAGTGTGGTTTTCGTACGTTGAGAGCGTACTTTACTTCTGAATTGCCTACTCAGTCCAAAGTAGCTGTTGCTTTGCCAGATATACACCTAAGCCACAGATAGAAGGTCCATTGTGTTACCACAGTTTGACACAGTTCAATTATGCTCGCTATTGAACCACTTCGTGTCACCGATGAATCTCATCAGGCACCTTGCTTCGGTATTTGAAACCTCCCTATGGTCGGCCCGGAACAGTGAACAAGAGATGCAAGACTGTTTCCTCCTCTCGTGGTCCTTATAGCTTCTGCAACATCTTCGGAAACGGCACGTTGAGTCTTTATGCATGCTTACCTATTACACAGTGCCCGGTTAAAGCCACCACAACGTTGGAGGTATCCTCTCTTATAAGAGAGTATACCCTTCGTGACCGCTTCCGATCCCATTTAAGCTACGTATGCCTGGAAATTCGACAAGTCGTACTTTGATTTCATCTTTCCTCACTCATTCACTTAGTAGCAGCTTCCTTTGCATTGCAAGTCCATCTGCCACGCAGTTCTCTCTATTTCCCTATGACCCAAGAACCAAGTGAGGTGAATGTAAGAAATTAAATATTCATTTCATTAAATTTTCGGGACCAGTACAAGACTTTTTCATAACCTTTCATAAAACTTCGCGAATAGTTCCAGGCTATTTCAGGATAATTTCGTGCTTAGTTTCGAACTACCCCGAAATTATTCCGAACTAGACCTAAAATTTTCCGGAAGTGATTCTGAAATATTCTGAATTTGTGCCGAAGTAATCTCAAGCAGGTCTTGGAATGGGCCCGAAATGGGGTCAAAACTATCTCGAACTAGTCCTGGAATAGTTCTGAACTAGGCCCCAAATGGTTTTCAAATAGTGGTGCACTAGTTCCAAAATGGCCCTAACCAGGTCTCGAAATGACTCCGAAATGGTCCTTAGAAAGACCTGAACATATCTTGAAATGGTCCTTAACTAGCCTTGAATTAGTCCCAAAATGGTCCTGAACTAGTCCAGAAATGTTCATTTCTACGCATAAGAAGCAATTGCAGATTTTCTGTTATGTTACATAAGAAGCAGTTACAATTTTTCTGCTGGTGTAATGCAAATTTTACCCATACCGAGAGCCAAGATGTTTACACATCAATAACCAATCAGCCAACTGATAAGACTGAAGAGACTCAGTCCCAAAAACAAACCACCGCCTAGCCTTTTTTAACCATCTTATTTACGCGAAGGAACTTATTTGGCAGAATGTGTAAAATTTGTATTCCTTTCATAGCCCGCATACCTTATTTTACTCTATTTACATTTTAGTCCCATTATTTGGGTAGCCGATTACAAATACGTCGAATACATTGATGGATCATCGGTAGCGGTGTGTTTAACGCAAGCAGTCACCAACTGGACTATGGGATACTTTTTGATGACAATATCCACTTTCTTTATTCTACCTCTGCTCATCCTAGTCGTACTCTACGCTATAATAGCCAAAAATCTTATCTCCAGTAACGGTCCAATGTTACGTATTCGACCATCGAAACCAGAACTGAGCCTAAAGGCTCGCAAGCAGGTCGTGCTCATGCTAGGCGCTGTCGTTTTATCTTTCTTCCTTTGTTTGCTGCCTTTTCGCATGCTCACCATGTGGATTATACTAAGTTCGGAGCAGACATTCTTCGATATTGGCGTTGAACGTTATTACAGCCTCTTATACTTCTGTCGCATTATGTTCTATCTGAATTCAGCCATCAATCCAATACTCTACAATCTAATGTCCACAAAGTTTCGCAAAGGTTTCCTACGTCTCATTTTGAACGCATGGCATGGCGCTGCTATGTCGTTGACATGCGGATGCCATAGGCGCATACGGGCACGCACCGGCACCATAACTGGCGTGGGAACAAACACCAATACCAACACTTCGAACACGGCCACCAGCAATGCAACATCGTCCAGTTTACTTTCGCGCCAATCTAATCGCCGCTACAGCGATGACACAATCCAAACTAATGCCAGCACAAGGCGGCCTTTTACAAAGACGCAAATACAAATTCAGATGCATATGCCCTGTGGCATGGAGAGTGAGATATTAGCGATGCTGCATAGTAGCGTGACGGCAGTTGCTGCGACAGCGTTGGCTATTGAGGATGAAGCGCTCGAAAAGAAAGGCATTGCTGAAGACGGCCAACGGAAGTACTATACAATCCGGAAGTATAAAACGCAGTCGATAATGCGCGAGCAAGCAGAGGCAGAGCAGGAGCAACTACCTGTAACAAAGTGTGCCAATGTGCCAGGCCGACGTTCGGTGCATGTAAGTTTCGATGATGAGGAGGCTATTATTTTGACGTGATACGCTTAAGGCGAAGAGGCTAAACCAGGAATGCATTTTTGGCGATAAAATCGAAGTGAAAGTGAATGTGTATCTACTTATTTATGTATGTAAATGTGTTAATGTGTGTGCGGTTGGCTGTGTTTATATTTATATGTATTTTAAGACTATAGATATGTGTAAATTAAATTATCTAATATAACCTATATTTTATACGAACTTTTCGAGGTCAAAATAAATACACCGCCATCGCCTTTTTTATTTAATTTTAATTATAATAGCAAAACTAACTCATGTAAAACGATAAGATTAAACATTAGCTAATAATATTTTCAAATAAAAGGATAAAATATAATTTGTTTTGTAATTAACATGAATCAAAGCGCGATAATTCAGATGGTCGGGAGGATTTAAGTAATGCAGAAATTCTGGTAAACCGAGGGCTTGCGATATTTCGATACTATTCCATACTGGATATTGCAGTAGGCTAAACTCTTCAGTCGAATTTGAATAAGATGGCCGACGACATTAACCACCTCTTTGTATGCCCACTCACATCAGCTCATCTAACGATGTACCCTTTCGTGAGCCTACAGTTAGATCAGAATGGAGACAACACTTGGCCAATTAACCGATTTAGACAGAGTTTAGTTTCTGCTTCAACAAAAAGAAAAAACAGTAAAAGATTTTCGTTCGCTTTACATTTTAGTCTTAAACGACTTCAAAAAAGGAGGATGTTATCAATTTGTCAGAGTATTTTTTATGTATGTTTTTAAAGCTCAGAGGTGCTACCATACTGATTTTGTTTAGATCCGATCATAGGATCATGAAGAAACTAACGGTACTCTTAAATTTGTATATGAGAATTACTTAAAAATTACTTGTTTTAAGTAATTTTCGGCAATGGAAAGCCTTACGGTATTCAGATATAAAATTAATAAAAGTATTATTTGACGATCAGAATTGCCTTCAGGGTTTCCACATCCGATCGAGCTTCGTCCAGAGTTTGTTTACTGCAGAAAAGATTCTTAAATTCCTGGCAAGTATAAAATTTATTCTGGCGATTGTTTTTTTTTTTTTGTATTCGGAAATCTGCCTTAATGAAATGGTTGAATATTTCCACCCAGCGATTCACACACTGAGAAAAGTGTATGCTAAATACATAAATAAGTAAAAATTGCTCATACGCCATGTACATGTCGTATATGTATACTATGTATAATGTTAGATCAATTCTTAAACCAATGTCCAATTTAAAATCCAAACTTTTTTCCAAGAAAACTGCCATTTTTTATAATTTAATATATAAGAATTTAGCCCGCTTCTTTTGACTAGGTATATTCCATACTTGAAAAAAAAAATTATTTTATTATAAAAAATAATTTAAAAAAATATTTTTTTATATAAGTCAGCAAAGTTATCAAACGATAGCTATATAAGAACACTTGTATCCCAAAATCAAATGAACTGCCACATCTATTTATTTTAGGTTTTGTCGTACTTTCCGCAAATCCTTTTTTTTTTTGTAACATGCAGACAAAATATAGTTTGATGACGGGAGGTTTTGTACCTCAATATTATGTAGTTTCTAAATGTGCATTACAATTTTCATAATTCAATTAATTTAAAGAAAAATTAAACTCAAAATGCACGAAATACGTGGACGTGAATACATATGTGTGTACATTAGAAGGTACCACCTTCCAAGCACACAGAAGAAGCTCGCCGTACAACTCTGAGTCTAATGTATTTATGTAGGATAACTTCGTAAAAAAAAAACTTTTTTTTTCACATACGGCAATAAAATTCTACTGGAGTAATCAAAAAACTTTCTTAGCAAAAGGTTAACAATTTACTGACATTAGGGTAGTACGTTAATTGAGGTCAATGCGCTTTGAACAAAAGGGTCATACTTTAATTTATTTTATAAATTGATTTGCAAAAATAGTTTAAACTTTGGGGCTTACGGCGAACTTTTTTGTATCAGTATGAACAAAAATCGAATAAGAAAAGGAACGGTGATAAGATATAAATATTTAATATAATAACATAAGTTAAATAAAAGCGATGCAAACCAAAAAGTAGCTTTTATTTACCCAATATTTTGGATTTATGCATATGTATGTCTCTTAAGTATTGATTTTTTTTTGTTAGATTAAATTTATTGTAATTTAATTAATGTTCTTTAAAAATGAATTTTATTATATTTCTCTTCTAATTTTAACAAAACAAGTAAAGTTTTCAGGTATTCATGAGGGTATGTAATACTTACTTAAAATTTATTGTAACAATTTTTTTAAATTTTAAATGAAAATAAATAAAATATTCCGTTGCAGGTTTATTATACATACATAATTATATAACATATAAATGTGGTTATACATACATATGTGTATATGTAAATTCTTGAAGCTATGTACGCTCCATCCGGAGTTAAAGGAACTATATTAGTATTACAATAAAACAATAAATAACAAACAATAGCAGAAAAACTTACAACTGTTTAAACGCAAGTGAAAGGTATGTACCAGTAAATGGAATCGTCAAGGAAAGTATGTATGCACACCAACACGAATTTGCAAACGTTAGCGTGAAATTTAATTTTTTGCTCTTCGAACTTCCAGCTTCTCTTTTCCACAATACTGAGCCAGTTTATGTCTAAATACATCTTCTTCTTCAACTATAAGCTACTCGACCTTTTTCCTTCCTTTTTTCACTATCTATTCACACTTGCGCGGCTCACTAAATGATCGATCTTGTATGTATTAATAAACGATTATGACTTTCCTTTTTCCTCTTCTTATCGTTTCACTGCTATAATATATCTCAATTTTGTCTTAAGGAATAATTGATAGTCGCCTTCTTACTCGCAAAACTGTTGCCATCAATTGCTTGCCATTTATTTTTATTTAATATTAAGCCATTGCCATTTATTTCTTTCGTAGTAAGCGTATGCTTTGTGTATTGTATATATATGTATGTTACTGTATTATAGTTTTCTTTTTTTCTTACCAAACTTCTTTTTCTATGCCTTTTATGGATTATATAAATTATCGTTACATTATTAACGCATTAGATGTAGAAAAGCCGACAGAATTGCACCACATTTTGCATGTTTCCTAACCCGTTTATGTATTTGTCGTTCACTTCTGCTTGGCTGAACAAAATTTTGCTCATTCACCCACAACGACAAAATGTCTACATACACAGAAAACAGCAAAAACAAATAGTATGTATGGTTGTAAAATCGGAAATAGCCAATTGACAGGAAAACATCGGGGGGAGAGCACGCCCTATAGCTACCTAAACGATTACAGGCATTAAGGTTAACGTGCCTATCGTGCGAAGAGCAAACATTTATACTTTACAACAAAATAAATCAATAATAGTTTGGTTAAGTAGGCAAACTAAAGTATACCAGGGACCGAGAACGCGTTCCGGTTTTAGTTTAGGTCTGCATGATAACAAAATGTAATGTCAAAAACGTTCCCACAAAAGAACCAAATGGGAAGAAAAAGTATTCAGAGCAGTTTGAACGGAGCAAAATGCCAACAAAACTCTCGGGAACATTACCGGGAAGAACAGAATGAGAATGGGAACGTTTTCAATGAGAACAAAATGTGAACGAAAGTATAGAAAACGTTTTTAAGGAGAATCAAATAAGAACGTTCTGTAAATAAAAAAAAGTTTTGAGAACATAACGTTATGAATGAGAGGGACGTCTACATGTTGGCATGAAAAATCGTTTCAGTGAGAACCATGATTGATAATTCTAAGCCAGTGCACAGGTGGCTCATTACAACTTCCATATCGTTTACCATTAGGATGAACTGTCCATTTATGGTATAATTTTTCATTTTATGTGCAAGAAGAGTTCGTGTCTCAAGTCTTTCGTTGATTTAATTTACATAATTGTCTTTCAGAGGTTTTTTGATTGATTTTAATATACAAACATTTCAAAGTAATGGAACGCTTAGATACAAACACAGTTCTTGCTTCTATTCTCCTCGAATAGTTCAGAGAAAATTTGTTCAATTTCGTACTGTCAGAAATTTGCTGAGACTTTATTTCCCAAATGGTTATTCTATATAAAGTTCCTTAGACTTTTGTTCCCGTTTTCTTCTCTTAGAAGTGTTCCCGAAAGTATTGTTCGCATTTTGTTCCACAGGGTTTTCTGCTTATATGATTCCCGTTGAGAACGTTCTCAGCAGTTTTGTTCTCACTTTCGTTCTTGTGAAAACATTCGCGAAGGTTTTGTTCTTATTTCGGTTTGGGTTCTTAAGCGTTCTTGGTAACAAAACTACGAGAAAAACATTTAGTTTCGTTCATACCTTTTGTCCTCGGTCCCTGAAAAAATACTTTTCAAGCACCACTATTCACTCGTAGTTGGGGAAATGTAGGGGAAAGAATAAATTTCGAGTTCATCAAACATCATAAATTTTTTTTTTATTTCTTCATGACCATCAATTTTTCTGTCGGATTTTTACTCTTCACAAAGAAAAATAACGCTGGACCCCTAATTTTCGTACAACTTCAAAGCAGTTACTAGATTTAACCCTGGGATGGGGGTTAAGTTTTTACACGTTCAAATTCTATGGTCCTCGAAAAGCAGTTTAGATAATCATATCATGCATAACAATTTTCAGAGCTGTGTGTGTGCAATCACACTGCTTTAACATCTGCTCTATGGTTAAGTGCACATAGAAACTTATCCCTAAATTTACCTCCAGCGCTAACGTCGGGCAGGTGTGCATTGCTCCAAGCCAGACATTGATGCATTTTGTTTGACTGACTGAAGTATTGGGCCCACATATTTCCATAGGTTAACGCTACATAACATATGATGAAGTATTTATGTGTATCCATCAAAGCATTCTAGGGCTGCAGCCTCAGGATTTACCCGCTGGGTGATTGTACACCAATAATGCTTTTGTGGCTCTGGATATGGTTCCACCTGCATGATCGATAACATTTTTGACGAATCTATCGATAGAAATGAACTCGAAAACAATATCGATAAAAAACGAATGTTTAGTAAAGATTTCTATTAAAATTACCGAAGAGTGTTTGGATTACTACAGCCCGACACGGTAATTAGCACATTGCCTGCTTGAATACTTTAATTTTGTTTTAAAAGCTATTTTTCCCCAAGTTTTTTTTTAGTACCCTTCGTATCATACATACATACATATGTATGTACAGATGTACATAGATACAAATGTACGTATGTTCATAGGAGCTTAAGCAATCTGGCAACACTAAATCAGAAAGTGACAGGGCAAAATAATATGCTTCCTACTAAGCTCTACCACTGCTTATGCTCCAATCGAAAATCATTAAACGCAACAACAACAAAAGCAAAAATATTAGCAATAATATCTAAACACCCTTTTACAATTTCCTTAGGAAAACAATCAATTTTTCAGGCTATTAAACTGAAATGAGTGCACAAATGTTGTGCCAATAGACAAGCAAGAC